CCTCCTGATAACATAATTTTATTATCGCAGGCCAAGTTGTTTCGTCGAAAAGAATTCGGTCAGCGCACTGCTTGTGTGGGATTTAATTTTTCATATCTGTCCAAAGTCCTTTTTAGTGGCCTGTTTCTCGTCACTTATCGAAATAGCATTTTCACTTGAATTTTTCCCTGGCCAGTGGTCTAGATAACACAGCCGTTATCAAAACACTTCTGGTTCCTTCTTTCTTTTCCTTTTCTTTTTTACTCAGAAATTCCCTGTCATTGTAATGACACCCTTTTTCATTTGTTACTTATCAATATTTTCATTGTCTCTTAGCCGTGTGTGTGTGTCTGCTTATCACCTATGATTCGTCTCGCATTTCTTTCTGCCTTCCTTTCTTTCTCTTCCTTTCTCTGCCTCGTAAATGAATTCATATATATATATATATATATATATATATATATATATATATATATATATATATATATAAAAGAGAGAGAGAGAAATTAGGAGGATTTGAAATAATCATAATTAAGTAATTCATCGAGTCTAGAAGAATACCCAACAGAATGTAGAAAACACTGGACGGCCGTTTCATCCTATATTTGGGTTTCATCAGCAGTGCGCATCCACTACCGAGAATTGAAACCCGAACAGTTACGATAGAAGACAAACGTCATACCTACTGTACCATTGGTTTTATGGGTAAAAGAGAAACTCGGAGAAGTTCTACCACGGAATTTGTGATCGAGCGGTGCTATATCGAGTCTAATTCGTTACCGCTTCGTCACCGAGAACCGTTGGTACAGTTGGTATGGCGTTTCCCTCCTGTCGTAACTGTTCTGGTTTCAATTGTCGGTACCTCTGAACAAATCCTAGTTCAGCACTTCAAGTTAAGTCTTATCTTAGAGTATCATTCCAGATATCAAAATGATATCAAAATGGCTAGTTTACGATGGGCCACAATTGAAGAATCGACTTATGATTCCTAATGTGATTCCAGCCTTTATTTTTACTTTAGTAGGTGTTCTAACATATGCTGGCACATGATAAGTGATTCACGCTTGGGCGATCATGTATCATTCGATACATAAAAAATGTTTTCCAGCAGTAGGTTGCCATCTCTTTCTGCGGTAGACAGCTTGCCAACCAAGGCTAAAGAATTATGCTATTCAAGCCAGAGCTGGGAAGAGAAGGGAATGATCCATATCTTTCACAAGGCATTTGTGCTTGAGTGAATATACCGAACTCGACTGGGATTCGAACTCGGCTCTCCGATTTGATATTTCAGGGAGATATCCATTAGACAAAATGCAAATCCATACTTTTCTCAAAAGCAGGGGAAGTACCGTTAAGAAATTGACATTAAAATAAAATAAAAATAATAGACATTGACAGGGTGATAAATTATATATTATACAAAGTAAAATTTGAATGAGAATTAAAAGTAGAATTTAAATTTAAAAGTGTCAGATACATCTGAGAGCCTCTGAACAAGTTCTAATCTCTATGTATAAAAGGCAGGATATGTGTGTGTGTGGGGGGGGTGTGACGAGTGCACGGCCGCAATTTTCGACGGATTTGCACCAAAATTTACATGCATATACTCCAAGTTAGCCGGAAGGCCAAGACCGACGTTGCATTTCCCAACTACCATCGATAGTGGAAATAATCGATTTTATTAATGCTTCTACGGAAGTTTTCAAGTAATTTGCGGCCATTTTCTACTGGCCAGAGTGAGAGCCTATAGCTGGCTGCCATGAACAGGCAGGAAGTTTCTATTAGCCAGCGTGAGAGCCAACAGCTGACTGACACAAATGTTAACTAGCATGCTAGCATGCAAAAAAAAAAATCAATAGCTGCATTCGTCACAAGTGGGAGTAATTTAAATCTGCATGGCACTTTACTCCAATTGGCTCATTCGCTTGCTTAAACTCAACGTTGATTTAGATTCCGCAGAACTGGGTTGGGTGTGAGAAGTATTTGTTGTTAACATTCTTTTTTCATTCGGTTTTTCCAGTTACGAGTCCTTTTTTAAAGCTGATCGTTTTGTGTTCATTTTGTTTAGTACTTTTTTCGTAACAGATTTAATGTCTAGTATAGAGCTTAGAAAAAATTCGCAGTTTGAGATAGGCAAGAAGTTAGACATGTAGCAACATCAGCACGGCAAAGGGCACTCCTTTAAAGGCAAGGAAGGGCAAAAATATTTTAAGTCAAGTGATAGCGATTGCTGTATGAGTCGTACGATTTTTGAATCAAGCACGGGCAACGCCGGGCCATGCTGCTAGTTCAGCATATAGATAAAATTGTACTATTGAATTCCGCCAAATAAAAAAATACATAGAGTAATATCTATATCTGAACAATAAGGTGACACCATTTTTTTTGTTGTTGTTCTTGAGAAATTTAACGTTATATAATCTTTTTGTCATTTTCCTTCATTTTACCCACCGAGCCATATGCTATGGTTACCGACATTTTATGTGATCCGTCTGCGTAAATGAATCATTATGTTCTACCGTCGCTTCGCTTTTGTCGAGGTAAATGTCTTATATTTAACGGTAAAATTGTCAGAATCTTAGTTTCTTCACACGAGATTTCATATTAACATCTCTCGTCCTAACAGTCATGACAAGCTTTATCCAGCTCCAAAGACGATAGCCTGAGAGAATTAGACTTTTACGAAACTGGTATTTTTCCCCATCTCGTCATTTTTTTAAGGGAGATAACTCGTTATATTTAGAGTCTTCAAGGAAGATAACTCTGTTTTTTTTTTTTTTTTTTTCTATTTGAGGATATTTTATTATTTGATTGTATTCTTCCTAAGATACCAAATCTTTGTGCAAAATGAAATTTCGAATTTTACTACTTTGAGTAGTATCTCCTGGTGGTACCAGCCTGGCTTTTTATGGCGCTTGTCAAGAAAATGTGGCTTCCTTGCAAAGTCCCATCTCCTCTTTGAATAAAATGCAAAAGATGGAATTATTCAAGTAGATTTAATTTGATTTTACTGGATCATACCAGCAATATACCGCGTGTAACTGCAAAATTAAAAAGAACAGGATAAAATACTTTTGTGTGAGACTCAATGTCTTTGCTAAAGAGCAATGTTGAGAGGAAAAATATTATTCAGGCCTTCAATAATACTACCAACATTCATACTCTGGCTTGCCTCTATAAATTCGATTCAACAACCATCACGAAAACGGTGTATAATTTTTTAAAAGTGGTCACAGTAGAGAGGAAAACTGGATCAGGAGGTCACAACAGCAAGAGGGATGATTTTTTCAACTTAGAGCTAAAGAAATCAATTAGAAAAAGATTCAACTCAATCTATACGACTTTTGGCATGAGAGAGACAAGTTTCAGCTATGACAGTTCAAAGACATGTGAAAAATACTTTTAAATGATATCGTACGGGAAACCTATCAGGCAAGCTTTTACTCTAGAACAGAAAATTAGAAGGTTAGAGAGGGCAAATATAATCTTGAATAAGTTTTAAAATGATCCTATGATATATATATATATATATATATATATATATATATATATATATATATATATATTATTTTTGCGTTAATGTTAGTTTTTTTAACCCTAGGTTTCATGACATTTGAGATCGACAGGGTTTGTCTGACGATCGCAAAGTACGTGAAACCCATGGTCACAAACTCACATCAACACAAGTAAATATGTTGGCTCTATCGCTGATATTGAGGGCTTTCAATGTAAAATTACATATACATACAAAAACACACACAGATATATATATATATATATATATATATATATATATATATATATATATATATGAACTTTATTTCAATACTTCATGAGCTTCTGTTCCTTAGCAATGATTAATTAATGATGAACATCACATTTTCGTTCATGATCGATTTGACCAAGTTTCTTCTGTTAAACTTGGAGATTAATTATACATTCTTATTACTAAATGTAGAGCTAAATATTGTTATAAAACCCCGGAGAATTCCCGTAAGATGTCTTTAACCATTTCAAAGATACAGCGTTTCTTAATCTAACAATTGGACAATTTTGTTTTTACACGATTTAGACAATTTTGCTGTGACAAGCGGTAAAGAATTCCATGCCTGTTCCAAACGGACGTGAAGACTTACGGTCACATCAAGTTGAAACATTGGTTTCCGTACGATCAACCGAAGTTCAGCAAAGTCGAGCCTGGTCCGTACTGAGATGGGTGACCGCTGGAAAATATTATGATCTCTGAGCTTGGATTTTACTGGTGGTGTAATAGATAATGGCTTGTAATTGTTAATCGGAGAGCCGAGTTCAAATTCGAGTTGTGTTGGTATGAATCCACTTCTTCTTTCCCCCAGGTATGGATTAATTTCAAAACTTGTGTCACTAAATCATTATTATCTCCACATCTCAAAAAATTTCTTACAATCTGAAAATATATTCGAGCTTAAAGTAACCAGCAAAAGGTTGATAAGCCGTAAAAAACGAATCAATCAATCAGCAAACTGAATTTTCAAAGAAATTAGAGACAACACTTAAACTACATCCCTCTATTGTCCTATATGTGGAACTGGTTGAAAGCGTGGCTTTAAGCATATCTGGTTCCCTTTGTTTTCGGAGTTCTAAAGCGGAGAAGTCATATTTTCTTTCACAGCGGTATACACAGACTATCGAAACTGTAAAGAATGAACTGATGAGGGATATCACCCCCACAAAGCATGGAGAGTAGAAATAAAATGATCTTAACCGTGATTCAAAAAAAAAATCGGTTCAGAATTCCGACAAGGTTAACGAGCTCAACTACAGACACGAAAAAATGTCCTCAAGTTAACTTTTAGACCACATGAACTGCTGCGGGATGTCTTCCCACCAGGCATGGAAAAGAGAAAGAACACGATCTGACAACCCTCCACCACCCCCATAGTTCGAACAAAAAATTAGGTTCAGAATTCCGATAAGGTTAACGATTAAAAGTACAGACACGGAAAGAAGTCCTCAAACCAACTTTTAGACCATATGAACTCATGCGGGATATCCTCCGCTGTCAAGCATGGAAAGGAGAAAGGAAACGATCTGATCCCCACACTCCTCCTCATAGATCAAAAAAAAAATTCTTGTCAGAATTCCGAAAAGGTTAACGAGTACAACTACAGACACGAAAAGATGTCCTCAGGCCAACTTTTGGACCACATGAACTGATGCGGGATATCCACATCCTCCCCACAACAAAAAAAAAAGCATGAAAAGAAGAGAAAAAACGATCTGACGACCTCTGTATGTCGAAGAACCAATTTGGTTCAGAATTCCGACAAGATTAACCATTACAACTAAAGACACGGAAAGAAGTCCTCGGGCCAACTTTTAGACCACAAGTTTTGATTATAACAACAAAGATGAGCTTTATCAATGAAGATTGTTTGTTTTGATGAGTACCCCAGGATATTTTCTTTCTTATTTGACGCACTTGTATTATTAAAAAGAAAGAAAAAAATGGAGTCTGAAAACTAATTACGAGAGTAAAATGGCAAATATATAAACGAATAATGTCTAACTTTTATTTTTCTTCCTTTAATTGAAACAACAAAATTGCGTCAATCAGTTGTTTATAAAACCACCAACGATCAAAAGCAAAATGTTTTTAAAATAGTTTTTTTGTTGTTATTTTTCTTTATTTCATTTATCGGCATGTGCTATACACAGCGAAATTCTATGTGCTTCGTCTCCATAAACGAGTGATTAACTTGGTTTTTTCGTCTCTTGCGTAGAGCATGGCATTATTTTCTGTCTTAATTACTAGGATAAGAAGTTATTATTATTTAAACTATTTTTATTTATTCGGTCGAGCGCGCTCGGACAATTATGCGTCTATCACGGCAACCATCATTGTCATGTATCAAGGTCGAAAGGTCATTATGGTGGCATTACATAGTCAATGTAGGTCCAATTCGTAAGTTCTTGATTTGCTCGCCTGCAGTGTCCTGCAAAGCACATTCTGAGTTCGAGTAAGATTGTAGGAATATCAGTGATGGATCCGTAGAGCTGTGATTTATTTGGATGTTGTCCCCAATAGATCTTAAGTATAGTTCTCTGCATCCGAGTGTAGGTCCCATCAAGCTTAGACTCTAGGATTTTAGTTAATACTAGCAGGAGAGCCCGGCGTTGCCCGGGAATGTAACAGTAAGAGATAGATCAAGTATCGACCATCATAAAGACTGAAAAATAAAATTGACAAAGATTATTGTTTAAGGTTGACGGACACGCATGTCTTAATTAGTTTTTTTTTTTTTTTACGAATTGGTCAAACCCAAACTCAAACAAAAACATTGTTTTCAATCGTTATGAGTCTACCGATTGAATAGAATTTTATTATAAACAATTGTTATGTAAATGGAATTTTTAAAGCATTCTGAATGTAAAAATAAAGAAAAAAGTGTGCAAGACAATAAGGAACACTACCAGCCAAAAAAAAGTGAACTTTTGTTGAACTCGGTTGAAAAATGTAGGGAATCCGATCCCATATATAAACGAAAACACACACAAACATGGGTTTTATAATAAGTATAACTCGATATGAGTTGTTCCCATTTCATTCTCGCGACAGCGATGCCTCTTAATCGTGTTTTCAAATTGATTTCGTGCAAAAACAATTGTGTTTTTCCAATTTTGGGCGCTGTCAGAACTACCGCAAGGTAATTCTACGTAGTCCTGTGAAGTTTTGTTGAAATCGGTTGAAAAATTTAGGAAATCAGATCCAATATATTAACGAACACACACACACACACACACACACACACACACACACACACACACACACACACACAACCTGTGTTTTATAATAAGTATGATCTAAGCAGTCGCACTATACATCAACATCGCATCTACAGTGGCTAGAAAGAATATCAGCTTGATGTTTTCTGGTAGATCAAATTTCCAGATTACATGCATTATATTCAGTGAGGCCAAGGCCTATGCTATTTCGAATGTCCGCTTCCTTTTCCGTAGAATTTATTTCGTTTCTCAGGTATGTAAATGATTCGGCATATTTAATTTATGGTTCCACCTGAGACAGTTTTTATTAGGTTTTGCTGGTTGAAGCTTATGAATTCAGTTTTACAAGTACTGACATAGAGTCGTACATGGTTAACATCATTTTCTAGATTATGTCGGAGAGCTGTGGTATTTGCAATGCTGTCCGTAATGACAGCTGTGTCGTCTGCATAGTCTATATCGATCAAATATTATTGCAGAATATCGTCTCGTGAGTCTGGGTATTAAAATAAAAAGCTAGATGATGATAACAACAAAAATTTGGACAATAGTTTGCATGTAAAGAGTGTAATGATAAAGATCATTACACTATTTTCATACGAACTAAAATCCTCATCTTTGTTGTTGTTATCAAAACGTTTCGACCTTTGTGCCCTCTTGTCAGATGTAGGCCGATTCGGTTAACCGACATGGAATTCCGAAATTAAATCTTCGTACCATTTAATCTACGTGGGTAGACTGTTCTCATCCCACTGCCCATGTCTCGAGATAATTCGTCTTTTTACTATTTATAGTGCTGCTTTTTTTTTTTTTTTTATCTCCCCGTTTTCACGGGACAATAGACCAGTTGATTAAAGCATTTCTTCGTAAATTTGGTGACATTGTCATTTTGAGTTCAATAGATGGGACGGTCATTATGTACAGAGCAATCTCGTATCTCGAACGTCTCGCATGTCGAATAAATCGGTTTTTGAACAGAATATTCGACATGAAAATACCTCGGTTATCAAAAAAAAGAAAAATTCGGTTCTCGAAGAACATTGCCGAATTGAGTTAACGGGAACGAAATCATTTCTTAGTCGACCGCCATGTTGTATACATTCGTGTGTTGTGCCGTGCTTTTCTTTACTAATTTTATTGTATTGTGCTTTTTTTTTCTCTTCATTAATCCTTACTCATGGCTCCAAGGAAAGCTAGCAATGATATAAGGTAAAAGAAACAGAAAAGTTAAGAGAAAAACAATTGTTGATGATACTGCCTCTTCCTACTCAGTTTCTTATGGCAAAACCAACGATCTATACTATTCTTATAAATAAAGAGACGATCATGTCTTTCCTTCCCTTTTCCAAACAATATCAACTCTTTCCTTCCCCTTCCTTTTAGACCATCAACTCTCCTACATACAGGTACGATAAAATTGAAATGTTCTTCTATATTTTAAATGTTTAGTATGAGGTCTATTTGTTTCTGAGATTTAATGATTATCATTAGTTTTGGGCATACATTTATACACAAGGTACTGTTTAAATAAGCAATCATCTTGTGACCTCGAATGGAATAATCCATTTTACATTAATTTCCTATTGGAAAAATTGTTTCGGATTACGAACATTTCGGGTTACGAAGTGGCTTCAGAACTAATTAAATTCGTGAGCCGAGGTTTCATTGTCGGAGACACGTGGAACGATAACAGTTTACACCTATAGATTAAATAAAAAAATGTTTGGAACTCCCTTTAGTTTACTCAAGTTGCCATACGGCCATTGAAAAATATATAGTATCTTCTATTTGTTTTACAAGGATTTTTCTTGAAGAGGATGGTACATCATTTTCATAATAAAGAAAGAGACATTAGTGAATGAATATAACTATCGATAATTGGAAATACGAAAATTCTGTTTTTTTGTCTGTTTTCTCTCAATCTCTGACGAAGGATTTAATAAAAGTGAAACATGTTAGATCGATATACGTTTCATATTTCTTCTTTTATTTTATCATCCTATCGGATTCCGTTTTGTATTTGATCTACATTTGATCAGTAAGTTAATTATCGATATGTTAAGTTTATAACTATGTCCACTACTTGGTTGTTTGATTCCCTTTTTTACGGCTTATCAACCTTTTATCGGTTATTTCAAGCTGAAACATATTTTGGATTGTAACTATATTTTTTGCGAGTGAATATTGCATTACTAACATTTTGAGAATAATAATGCTTTTTCCAGAGTCAATTTCTACTATTTAACACATAGGTATGGGGGGGGAGATAAATGCATAACTTTCCAAAGTGAAGGGTGCATAAGTGAATAAATCGAACCAAACTGGAATTCGATCGCAGATCCTCGACTTGACATTACGACTCCCAAGCTTTTTCTTTATTTGGTGAAAGTTAGTAAAATAAAAACAAACTGTTAAATAGTTTTACTTATATGTTTATACCTTTCCTTTTTTTAACTTGTGTGTAAATTTAATCAAATCGAAAAGATAGAATTGGACTCAATTTGTACTTTTAACTTATCGCTTCGTCAGCAATAGGAAGTAAAAGCTACTTTCTGATATATTTTGGCAGACGACATTTGTTGTGCTTAGTGTCTTTCAAAGGAAGGAAAGAAACGTCAATTATTTCAATGATTCCCCGCTGCCAAACCAGCCGCTACATCATTTATCGATATTGCATTTATCTTCAGAACAAACAGTTCATCCCAAATAGAAATTATATCCTCGTTTACTTCGTTACGGCTGTCAATTTGTTATGGCGCGCCTTTTTACTCCAATCTTTTCCTCATCAACATTGTGACTAGCGTTCTACGATTTTTACAAACGGCGCTCTCTTGTTTTTAGATCATTCGAAATTTGGTTCCTTTTTTTTCTGTCAATTATTTTTTTTTTATTTTCTCGCTTTCATTCAGTCATACTCCCCCTTTTCTTTTCCTTTTTATTTCTTCTTTTCTATTCTGTTTTGTGTTACTTTTTTTTCCTTTTCTTCTTCCTTTCTTTATCTGTTCCTTTTGTTATACTTCTTCGTTTTCATTTTTTGTTCATATCCTTTTTCTATTCCCGTTAAGTCTTTCTTTCATTTTTTTATTCGTTTTCGTCTTGCTTTCTTTTAGTCTCGCGTTTGTTTTCTCTCACTTTTTCAGGTTCTCTTTCCTTTCTTTATTCTTTCTTTTCTTCTTCTACTTATTACTTGATTTCCTTTTCTTCTTTTAATTCTTGTTTATTTTTCTTCTTTTGTTTGTTTACTGCTTCTTTTTCTTTGTTATTTTACTTCTTTTGTTTTCGTAATTTTCTTTTTCTTCTTCCTTTACTTTCGTCTTCTTTTTTACACTTTTTTTCTTTTACACTTTCTTTCATTTATTCTTTCGCCCATTATATTCTTTAATTTCTTGATAGTCCTTTTTATTTTCTTCTTTTATATTCTTCTTCTTCTTCTTCTTCTTTTTTTTTCTTCTTCTTCTTCTTCATAGTCCATTTACTTCTTTTTCATTTTCTTCTTATTCCTTCCTTCCTTTCTTCTTTCGTTTTATCGGTTCGTTTTTCCTTTTTAATTTGCTTCTTTTTCTTTATACTACTTCTTCTTTTCCTTTTTCTTTTCTATTGCATTCTTCTCCTTTTTCCGTTTTCTTCCTTTACATTTTTCTTTACATTTCTTCTTCTACTTCTTCTCCTTTAAATTCAGCTATTCTGATTCAGCTTCTCTTTCAATCCAATCCTTTTCTTTTTTTAATTCTATGCGTGTGTATGTCATAAAGCAAAATTATAGAATGAAAAGATTGTGATGCGCCAATATCAAAAGGAAATTGCATCTCATCTAAGTTACAACTAGTACAAGGGCAAATACAGCTACTGGCTGAAATTAAACCTTCTTCCACTAAAATTCCAAAGATGTATTCACAAAGTCAGTATAGTCACATCAAAGAAGACGTTCAGATGGAAGACAAAATAAGGGTGTCTATTTGATTGGGTGAGCTAGTGTGGGAAAAGTGATAGATAGAAAAAGGTTTTTTCAAAGAGTTGTTTCGGAACTGTCAAGCGATCTAGACGTGTTTTCTTTCGTGTCTGAAACGGCTCCCCACTGGAGTAGGGAGAGACCCTACTGGATAGTTAGATGTATACGTTCACGTTAATAAAATAGCTAAGTTAAAATTCCCAGTGTCGAGGTTATTTCATCTCTGACCAAATCAATTAGCGATCACCGACCGAGAGAGAAGAATCCAACTTTATTATCGAATCGACGCCATCACCACCCCCAGGGGCTACACACAAACACACACACACACACACACACACACACACACATATATATATATATATATATATACTAAAAATATCCGTGACCCGTTGGGTCACTGGCGCTTCAGTTTATAAGACATTAAAGTTGAAAAAAAAATGTGTGTTTGGAGACAGTTTAATGTATAAACAACTCACATTTTTAAATCGTATACACTTAAAATACTTTTAAATCAAACTTAATTTTTTTTTAATATCACAAAAGTTATTTCTAAATCATGTTCAGATGAAAATATTTTTGAAATATGCCAAAATATTTTTTAAATATCTAAAATTTTGTTTTTTTCAAAGATAGCTGAATTATAAATAAGCATGTACACTTCACAGAGAGGTGGAAAGAGAGAGGAGATAAGAGAGAGGTGTAGAAAGAGAGAGATGGATAGAGAGAGGTGGAAAGAGAGAAAGAGAGGTGAAAAGAGAGAGATGTGGAAAGAGAGAGTTGGAAAGAATGAGAGAGGTGGAAAGAATGATAGAGGTGGAAAGAGGGGGCGTTTTTTTTTTCTTTTCGTCTCACTGCCAATTCATGTGTACGTACCATTTCCTTCTTTCCCCGCCCTTACCGCACGATAATAAATTTACATCTTTCTTTCCCCCACTCTCTATATATGACTTCGTGTGCACGGTGGTAAACGCACTTACAAACAAAGTTCACTTAATTCTAGTATATATATATATATATATATATATATATATATATATATATAGAGAGAGAGAGAGAGAGAGAGAGAGATTTAGTGATTTTTGAGATTTAGTGCTACAAGTCTTATCAGAGCTTGAGTAAATGGATGGCGGAGCACAGCTTAGGAGAGATTAGCAAAAAACAAAATTTATTAAGAGATACAAAGGAAAGGAAATTGTGGAGATCCACGATCGTCAACGTCTTGAAGGAACTCTCTTTACCAAGCGTAGCCTAGGTGTGGCACTAGGCCAAAAGTATAGCGCGTCCAGTGAAATCAAACTCACTACTAAGTCGTAATTGATCTAGCGGGACAATCTTTCTATTACTCCACGTCGAATTGCCCCAATGAGTTAAAGAATACTATAGCGATTTACTAAGCGTAGCTTGTGTGGCTCAAGGCAGATCTAGTGAGACAAGCTTGTTAACCATCGCCACGTTGAAATATCCATCATTCATATCCTCAGGATCTCTATCTACTTCCACCTCGTATGTTCATATCACTTACCTCATTCTGTAACCCGCTCCCTTGAATGGTTCTTCAGTCTTATATTGGGTAGATACCTCGGTACCTTCAAGTCTTTTCTTTCCTTTGAGGAAATTATTTAAAATTTACCGCCATCGCAGCATAGATTCATGTTTTTTCATTTTTAATAAGATTTTAACGGTTTCTGAAGAATTTCGCAAGAGCAGATATTTTTTTATTTATTGATTGATTGAAATGTTTTCAAGGATTTGTTTATGTTGCAAATATTCGATTCTACTAATATCTGTTTATTTATTTATTAGTCAGTCGATACACAACGGTTTCCGATAGGAAAGGCGGCAAGAAACAAGTAAAAGTAAGCAAGGCGAAAACCACTAAAGATCGCCAACGATATATATATATATATATATAGAGAGAGAGAGAGAGAGACCATACAATATATATATATATATATATATATATATATATATATATGATCAGCACCCCACTCTCTTCTCAGTATGTTCTTTCCCTCTTCTACCTTCTCTCCCGCCTACGAGTCAAGGGCCCGGGAACTTTGAAGAGATCCGACTCGAGAATGACCTGATTCCAAAATCAAGCTGCGGTTGACTATAAGTGAACTCCAGGCACCGTCAGGCTCTCCTGCTTCTATCACGTGATCATACCCTACTGAGAGTTTATTGAATCTTTGGCCACACGCATATTTGCACCCCATCGTCCTGCGTCCCCGGTCAAGAACGAAGGGAACCCACGTGACGTTTTTCGGGGACAACAAAAACCTAAAAGATGAATAAATAAATAAATAAATAAATAATTTCAGTTTCCCGTCAGATGAGTTGCAGACGAACATCGCCGAGCGAATCGTCCCAATTCCAAATCGACTGCCCATGACTGAAATAAAGACAGCAAAGTATATCGACTACAGTATTAAAAGGACTGCTACCTAAATAAATCGACCAATGCTGTAGACCCCCGACCATTTCAGAAAGAAAATTGCCGACCGACAAAATATTGTTTTAACATGAGAACGCTCGCTTCGGCGAATTCGAACTCTGTGGAGATATCAACTCGACTGAACCATCAAGACAGATAAGTTGATTTCTTGCCTTGATATTTTCATGTTTATGTATGTATTCGCTCGTACATTGTGTTCTTTCATGATCCCTTTCCTCTTTGATAAACGACTTTTTTTTTTATTTCTTTGCCTGTTTCTGTATTTCTAAATAAATGTTTTATTTTGAAACCATCGTCTTCCGTCTGTTTTTCGTTGACTCCCTTGTGTCGCTTCGATCCCTGAGTGAAAACCAAGAAAAGAGACTACATTTTCCTTTTTTTTTTTAATCCGTGGTTCACCTATATGCTACACATATATATATATATATATATATATATATATATATATATATATATATATATATATATACAGAGAGAGAGAGAGAGAGAGAGAGAAGAGAGAGAAAGATATAATTAATACAAATGTATCACTTGGCTGACTGATGTTATTATACAGCACGGCAGCTATATAGTTTCATAGACGGACATTTTTAATTGTACAGTCTGCCCTTCGGGAATTTTTACCAATTGACAATCGTTTGTCTCACTTTTCGTTATATTTTTACTAAGTTTGATGTACAGTGCTGTTCGAAAAAAGTGAGCAACCTGATATGTTTTACCAAATGTTCTCTTCTCCGATGAAACGAAAGTTTAGTTAAATTCAAAGGATAGGCGATCTAAAATCCGAAGAAGAAGCTTTGAAATCTCTTTAAATTTAGCAGTAAGTACTGCCGAGTATCCTTTCAGTATAATGTTCTGGGGATGCTTTTCTTTTCATGGAACTGGTTTCTTAAAACCTATTGAAAGACCCTCAGGAGCGAGCAGTACAAGAGAATTTTAGTGTCTTGTCTGCTCCCATATGCTGAAAGGGTGAAAATCGACCCCACCAAGCTCATTTTTATGCAGGATAATGCTTCCTGTCACAAATCAAAATTGATAAAGGAATACTTTGATGAGAAGCAGGTGAGTGTTATGATATGGCCGCCCAAATCTCCTGACCTCAACCCCACAGAAAATTTATGGAGCATGTTGCTTAACTGCTTTCTCGAGAGCCTGTACTTTATAATGCTCCAATAATTCAAAGAGATTTCAATTTAGCTCAACATTCGTTTCATCGGAGAAGAGAACATTTAGTAAAAAAAAAATCAGGTGAGTCACTTTTATCCAACAGCACTGTAGTTAATTTGTGTACAAGTTAGGATATTGTTATTATTAGAGCAATCAAAACTGTTTCAATACGGTAGGCAGTTTAATAAAATAAGAATGAAACGTTTTTATTTAATTTTCGAATGTTTTTATTTCTTTCATTTATTTTCTATCGACACAATTCGATATTCGCTTCACTTCCGTACCACCACCACGACGCGTACGAGGCGCGTTTGGTGACGACGACGCCGGCACGTCGCGGTCGGCGCGCGCCCGAACTATGACTCAACCGTTCGCTAGCAACAGCCGTCCAATTTTTATCGGCTGCCGATCGGACGCCACTAGGTGAGCGGCAGGTTTGCGCCTGGTCCTAGTTCTGGTTCTGGTCAGACGATCACCAGCCAGCTGGTCACGTTGAAGGGTCGGCCGGCTTGTCGCGTTGTCTCACATCCGCAGCCGGGAACCAATTCCCTTCTTACTTGCTGCCCGTCGACCGACCGAGGGGCGTCTATTCCCCTACTTTTTAATTTGCGCGTCCGTTTCATATAACCATGTTCTCCTCTCTCTCCCTCTCTCTCTATCCCCCCTCTCTCTCTCTCTTTCTCTCTCTCAGTTTGTGTGCAAGTGAACATATGTGTACGTACATTTGTGTCAAATGTCGAAGCTATTTCTTCTTTTTCATAGTTTTCTTTTCTCTTTATACTCGCATTCTATTCCCTTTCCTTCTTTTTCTCTTTTGGCTCTGAGATAATATAACAATGTCATTTTCTGGTATCACAGAAGAAATCTTCTTTTTTTTTTTTTTGGTGGGGGGGTAAAAGATCGATAGATTCTCGAGATAGATAGATAGATAGATAGATAGATAGATAGATGGCGATATAAAAAAATCATGGCAAAATCCTTAAGCATTTGTAATTTTCATTTATAAATCCATTCCCCTACTCTATAAAGTCCATCTGCAATCAACATTCAGAAGATAGGTCCATTTCATTTGTATTAGTTTAGCAACGCATTTTATATT